ACTGTCTCTTCCTTCCTTTCTCTAAAATCAATAAAAACATATCCTCAGATGAGGATTTAAAAATTAAAGAATACTAACCAGAGCATTAACCCTCATTGACAGCAGCACTCACAGGACCAACCTACATGCACAATAACAGCAATGTCCCTTCCCTGCTGCCTTCCACAAAGTCCTAAATTCAAACTTGGAGAGTGTATTATGTTCTTTTAAGTTTTAACAAAGAAGGGAAGGGAGTAAAATGATCTCAAAGGGAGACAATGAAGGTCATCTCCCAATAAAAAAGGCAGAGCAGCTTGTCCCAGAATATTTCCCTGCGCATATTTTCACACTGCTGCTCCACATTTAAACTTTGTCTTTTAATGCAAAAAATTCTAAAAAGGTCAAGTTCAAGTTGGGTACTCAAAGACAAAACGAAATAATTATCTGATGAATTCAATTAGCTATCCTACATAATTAAGACTCCCTGAACTTTTTTCAGGTAGTTTTTCTGAAGGTCATTCTCTGCATAATTTCCAAAACTTTCCATTTCCTTTTAGCTGAGAAATGTGTTATTTTTTAAAAGAACCTTATGGATGTAATATCAAAGATTTTCCTTACACTGCTTTGAGGGAGGGGAGAACTTTTACTGCTGCCTTTTAATTTTCCCCCACTGTAAGGGTTGTGCTTAAATAGCCTATTAAACTATTTATTATATGTGGGAAGGGCGCTGGATGAATGATTGTTTCCACATTGCTACGAGTCGATCATAAATCTAAAAGTTAACAAGAAAAACTAAATCAACTATAAACAACCGAGTCATGTTAAAAGAGTCAAAATGATATTTCACTTGCTAGTTATGGGTGTGTTGATCTGATCCTACACTTTGGGAAATAGTGAAGTTAATACTGTGAAACAATAATGAGGGCTGTTGATTTCATCGCTTACTAAACATTTTAGTATAAACCTTAAATTTGGCTGTCCAACCTGAAACATAATATGAGATTATTTGGACAGTTCATTTTCCTCCTTTTGTACAATGGAAAAATTTAAATGCTTGGGCATAAAAAGCGTTCTTATTATTAAAAAGAGAAAAAAATGGGGGGGACTCTAGTAAATGCCTTAAATAAAAATGATTACTGTGCAGACATAAGCCTTATTAACTGCTCCTTGGCATCATGGTTATTTATGTAAAAGTCTTTATTGACAACATAAATCCACCATTTCATTATTATTTGCTGCCAATACAATGAACATTATAAGCAAGAAAATAAGGAATTCATTTCAGATTTATAACTAATGAGACACCAAAGGTTATTTAAAAACAGTTGTGGCATCTCTAAACTGCTTTAAAATGCAACTTTAGAAATAAAAACAAACCCAGTGCAGCATTCTCTATCCTCAATCTCAGCTGCTTTATTAAATAAAAAAAAGATAAGAGACTTATAAGCCCCCAGAGATCAACACAATTTACAACAGTGACACCGAAAACATAAAGTGGGGAGAACTGAGAAGCAGATGGAAGAAAATCAAACTTGCTTGAAGTAAATGTTCAAGCCATTGAGAAGATGAAGTTATCTAGGAACTGTCTTTAGAACGGTTTCTATGTGCTCTTTTTATTAAACAGGCCTGGGCACTAGAGTACTTTCATGATTTAAAGACTCTTATTAGCACTAACCGGTTTGGCTCAGTGGATAGAGCGTCGGCCTGCAGACTGAAAGGTCCCAGGTTTGATTCCGGTCAAGGGCATGTACCTTGGTTGCGGGCATGTCCCCAGTAGGGGGTGTGCAGGAGGCAGCTGATCAATGTTTCTCTCTCATCGATGTTTCTAACTTTCTATCCCTCTCCCTTCCTCTCTGTAAAAAATCAATAAAATATATTTTTAAAAAATAAAGACTCTTATTAATAAAACACTCCTAGAGAATGAATACAAACATCCACTGACACATACACGAATGTCCACCTGTTGCACAGAATTTTTTGGTCCATTTCCACTTACTTAAACTCCTTTGCCAGAGGTTTTCTAAAGCAGAAGACCAGTGGTCCATCAAGGTGAAGTAACTGAAACTAGGCATGGGACCTTTTTTAATCTCCACCCCTGGAATGCAACACCAAAGATTTAATTCCATGGAGATGCCACTGTGCTAGGGTATCAGGTATTTGGGTTTTTAGTCTCTGCTCCACTGGTCTTTTCCTGATACTCAAATATATGGTGATAAATGTCTCCTTAATTTGCACAACAGTTTTCAATTGCCCTCATGGGAGACCACCTTGAAGGAGCGAGTAAAAGGTTTAGTCATGGTTTCTATTTTTCTATTTGAATCAATACACTCTAGTTAAATGGACAATTAATAGGTCACTTCCAAAATAGTAGTGCATCAGTCCTGGTTAATAAACAATCCCCACAGTTGATAATGGGCCCTATGTATTCAGCAAGTCCTGCATGCACTCAGCTCATCCACTAAATCCCCTTTCAGGTGGACAGGGTTATATGGGAAGATGAGCTAGAATGAGTCTATAAAAGTCAGTTTCATTCACTGCTTTATTTTTTCAGTCAAGTGCCTTAAATGGTGTCCAGAAATTCACTTGGAATGTGAGACAGGAGAAAAGACTGGCACACAGAGCCTGGCTTTATGACCATACAAAAGGGCAACTGACCCTTGCCCAAGCCTTTTCCGTGTGAAATGGTTCCTAAAGTTCATCCACACAGTGAAAAATCGTGGTGAGGTCGCGTGTGGATGAGTCAAGTGAAAGTGACGATTGGTCACGGGTCTGTCGCCCATTGTGGCTGGGTCCCAGCCCTGTGGAGTGCTCTGTGGGAAAGTGTCGGCCCCCTAAAGAGCTGCTCAGAAGCTTGCAGCTCATTAAACGGCCAGCATTTGCTGCCTCACTTGTCAGGAATCATTCTATTGAGCAACGGCTCTGCTGAAACATTCATAAAACACACGCAGAGAGGCGGCAGGGATCTGAATTCAACCATGATGGAGCTCTGACTTTGGCCCGACTCAACTCTTATTTCACTTTTCACCCGACAGAGTGGTGAACCTGCATAAATGTTTACCTTGGGCAGCTGCAATAAACGCACTCCTCCCCTGGACTTCTTTATCATAAACTCGAATTCTCTGCCTCCAGATTCCTATCTAGTTTAGAAATCTAAGACCAAGGTGAACTCGATTGACTTTCAGGGAGCCATTTTTCCTTTGCGTGTGTGTGCACACTCTTTAAGTTTTTGGAAGCTGTCATTCTCGCTCCACCCCTGAAATTGATTGAAATTTTGTAATGTTTGAGGACAAGTTCTCTTGCAAATATGTCCTATGAGGCCGGTTGGTTTTCTTCAAGGTTACGAAGAGGAGGAATTTCTTTCTTTTTACAATCTTAACGAGTTTAAATTATTTTCTATGGACACCTAGTGGCTTTCTGTGTCACATTTTAAGCTGAATGGAAATTTTGCACAGCACAATTTCTTAGCCTTCCTTTTTTTCTTCTTTAAATGGGTATTGCTACACATTTCAGAATGAGCCAAAGTGGTTCCTCTGAGATCTTTTATATCCAATGGAAAACAAGTCCCTTTCCTTGGAGTGTCGGCCCTGGGTTTCAATGCCATTAGAAACTGCTCACAATTGCTCAGTGTGCTGAGGTTTGATAAATCTCTGGGAGCCTCCTGAATAGGATCGCTGTGATTTTTAGTGAGGAATTAGCTCCTTGCCATTGCATTACCAATTGGTTTTCCAGAGCACATTAAATCCTGCTGCTTCGGTTTACAGAATAACTGAGGCATTGCTGATGAGGCATAAAAACTTACTTGGAAAAACAGTGGGGGATGCAGGGCGCCGACAGGACCCACCGCAGCAGGCTGAGTAGAATGGCGGGGCAGTCAGGAAAAAAGGCTTGGAAGGCGCTGCAGAGAAAGCATTGATAGCACTCATTAGCCATTTCTTTTAGACAATATTCAAAATCCCAGTTTCCCAAAAGTCACTGAGTAAAAGCCCTTCATTTCCCGAGTCTTAAGTTATTCCTTTTACTGAATTTAAAGTAGCCCTTATCTGTCAAATGCCTTGCCAAATAATTTAATCAAGATTTGGAAGATGTGGTGAAAAGACCGGAATGATCAAAACCAAATGTAACAGTTTATTTCCATGTAGTCCTAATTGTAAGTAGTATATATCAGGCAGCAAATATTCCCTTACTTAAATGATCCTAGAGCAGTGATGGCGAACCTATGACACGCGTGTCAGAGGTGACACGTGAACTCATTTTTTTGGTTGATTTTTCTTTGTTAAATGGCATTTAAATATATAAAATGAATATCAAAAATATAAGTCTTTGTTTTACTATGGTTGCAAATATCAAAAAATTTCTATATGTGACACGGCACCAGAGTTAAGTTAGGGTTTTTCAAAATGCTGACACGCCGAGCTCAAAAGGTTTGCCATCACTGTCCTAGAGCAACACTATCCAAGAGAACTATCTGTGTTGATGGAAATGTTCTATAGCATCACTGTCCAATATGCACTTGCCACAGAGGGCTACTGAGCACTGGAAATGTAGCTAGTATGCCTGGGAATTCTTCACTAAATCATGTTAGGTTTAAGTAGGCTCATCTGGCTAGGGGCTATCATATTGAATAGCACAGCTCTAGATATAATACTTGCCAAGAAACAATCTGAATGTTGAGTTTAATTTCTAAAAGAGATTATATTACTTTAACCTACTTTCAGAAGGTTCTATGAAATATGTAGTTGGATTCCAAACTTTATTTATTATTTAATTTATAAATAATAAATTACAGAATCTGAGCAATTCCACAACAAAAATGTTGTTTTTTTTCTGATCGCTTTTTCATGTTTAAAAGTGTTTGAGAAGAATAATAACATTTTATCACAAGAGAAATCTAGTTAACTTGAAAGCATTCATGTTTATAGTACAGGGAGTTGCCATATAATTCTGTTCTGCTCATTTTATTAAACTGTGCTGTTCCTAATATATTCAATACATATACATGGGCTAGTTGTCATTATACTTGTAAATAAAGAAATTTTAAATTATGTTTCTCAGTAGATGAAAAATACCTATAGAGGATGTCATAGAACATTAATAGCTCTTTTTTGCTGAGCACTTACTATATGCCAGCTTTTGGTTAAGTACCTTAAATATAAATGTAAATATGGAAGGGATTTCCTGAAGGTGGGAAATTTCCTTTTACTAGGGCACACCCAGCAGAATACCTGGCACACTCTAAAGAGTCAATACATTTTCATTAACTGAATAAATGATCTGCAAATCTAAGAAATTGGAAACTTCCTATAGTCTTACATAAAGAATGAGGATCAGATGCACCCCTATGTTCCTAGCAGCACAGTTTACCATAGCTAAGATTTGGAAATAGCCTAAGTGCCCATCAGCAGATGAGTGGATTAAAAAACTGTGGTACATCTACACAATGGAATACTATGCTGTTGTAAAATAGAAAGAACTCTCTTACTATTTGCAACAGCATGGATGGACCTGGAGAGCATTATGTTAAGCGAAATAAGCCAGTTGGAGAAAGATAAATATCACATGATCTCACTCGTTTGTGGAATATGATGAACAACATAGACTGATGAACAAAAATGGATCCAGAGACAGAGAAGCACTGAATGGACTGTCAAACCTCAGAGAGAAGGCAGGGGAGGGTGGGGGAGGGGATGTAACAGATCAACCAAAGGACTTGTATGCATGCACATTAGCATAACCAATGGACATGGACACTGGGGTGTTGGGGCCTTAAAAAAAGAGGATCAGGAATTGACCCCATCCCTGTTCCCCTGACACTACCTGAAATACAGTATCTTCTATAACAGACGACTTTGAAATCTGACACATGACTTCAAAATAAATGTTTTTATTACTTTCCCTTCATACCCAATGGCACCTGAACCGCATCCAGCACGGCCAGGGGTGAACCTGAGGAGGGGCGGTGAAGGATTAAAGAAGACAGACAAAAGAATACAGTTGGGGCCAGCTGGGACACTGTCCTCAGATGGGGAGACAGTGCCCCAGCCTGTAAGCCAAGTCTTTATTTTATAGTCAGATCCCACGAGGCAAAGCAAGGGTGTGGTCAAGATGTTTACAATGTTCTCCCGAGTTTCAAATCTACTTAATTACATGCACCTGAGAACTCTATCAACCTTTGTTTTGGCAGCATTTGCTGCACCTCCCACAGCCCACATCACTCAGCCACCTGGAACCACAGGTTTGGACCATAAGGTCAAGCTTACAGCCATAGCCTTTGGCTATAATTGTGCTGGGAGGGCTTTGTCCTCCGAGCTGGGACCCACACGTGGCTTTGCCACGAGAGGACCGTGCCCTCTTATTAGTCCGAGGCTTGAACCTGTCCAAACACTGTAGCTGCTCTCCACAGGCACCTCTTTTCTCAATTATAGTAAAAATTATTTTGATACAAATACATACCTTCTTTTAAGAACACAGTAATTTCAGACTTGTATTTTAATCAATTGATGAGTATGTGTTTATTTTCACCAATGCATTTGAAGGATATCTATATATATAAAAGGCTAATATGCTAAGTGTCGGACCATCCAACCGGTCACTATGATGTGCACTGACCACCAGGGGGCAGACGCTCAATGCAGGAGCTGCCGTGACGCACACTGGCCATTTATAGAGAAACAGCCCCATGGACCTGGCACCAACAAAGCAACAGCCCACCAAATCGCAGCCAACACTGCCAAGACCCCATGGTGCAAAATGCAGCCCACAACCCAGCCCAGTCCAGAAACTGTTGCTGTGGGTGCCGGGTAATGACATCATATAGCAACGCCCAGCTTCCTCTCCCTAGCAACTAGCCTCCTTGGAGTTTCGTCAGCCCAGGAACATGACTTGCTTTATAGCCAGGTACAAACATTTCACAGTTTAACCAAATGTCTGTGAAGCATTTTCCCGTGCCTCACCTCATTTGATCCTCACAGAAGCCCTAGAATAGGTAGATAGGAGACTCGGTGGAATCCTATTTTGTTTTCATTAGCCAGAAAACGGAGATTTTGAAAGCTTAGAAACTTGACCCGACTGAAAAGAAGTAAGAAATGGTGCCCCTTGAAAATGACTTCAGGCTTTCTCACTGTGCAGAATATAGTGAAACACTGCTGCAGTTAAATATTTTACCCTTTGTTCTCCCTGTATGATCTACAATAATAATCTGCTTCGTGTTGATATTTACTGCTGTGTTGCTGACAATTACCTGAAAGAGAAGTTGGGGTGCTTCACTGGGCTGGAAAAAGTTTAGCTAAATCAGAAAGCAGGTCTAATTAAGCAAGTTTATTCTATATATATAAAAGGCTAAGTTGACTTGCGCATGCGTGATACATATAAAGTTCTCTCTGGCACCAATCGCACGCATATGTTTTGATCTGTCATTGTCGATCATGAATTTGGTTGACACTTCTATTATAGAGAAAGGGCGAATAGCAATATTAAAATATTTCTTCTAATTAATTTCTGGGCCACTAGTATCAGAATAAGTCTCTTTCCCAGTAAGAATTTTAGTCTCGGGTTCCTTAATGCCTTCAACTTGCAACTTAATCACAAATTCAGGTTTTTTTTGATAATATAATGGAAATCAGTCAGTATTAATATTTTTATTTTTCAATATCTGGGTTTTCAAATAAGAAAATGTCTTAATGCATATTTGAAAATATGGCAGCTAAGAAAAGTACCTATTTTGCGTGTGCACAAAGTTCAATAAAACTTTTAAAAATTTTTTTTTAATCCTCACTTGAGGACATGCTCACTGAGCCACACCAGAAAGCATCTTTAAATTTCATTATTATCAAAAGTTGTTCGGCCCTGGCCAGTGTACTCAGTGGTTAGAGTGTCTGCACACCACAGGGTCTCAGGTTCAATTCCCAGTTAAGTGCACGTACCTGGGTTGCTGGTCAGTTCCCCGTCCCCAGTCGGGGTCACGTGCAAGAGGCAACCAGTCAATGTGTCTCTCTCACATCAATGTTTTTTTCTCTTTCTCCTCCCCCTTCCTCCCTCTCTCTTTCCCTCCAACTACCTCTAAAAAGGAATGGAAAAAATGTCTTCATGTGAGAATTAACAAAAACAAAAAAACACAACAAAACAAAACAAAAAAAGTTGTCCTAATATTGATTATAACACCATCATAGTAATGATGTCATTTTATTTAAATTTAACATCTTAAATTATATTACAAGAGCATGACATTATTTAGGCAGAGTTACATTTTCCATTATTTCTATGAATATATGAAGTACTTAGAAAAATGGAAATATATTCTGTGCATAAAACTTGCCTCATCGTGTTTATTCCCAAGCATTTCTGTTAGCTAAGTTATTTCATCTGTTAGCTAAGTTATTCCATCTCCAAAGTAAACATTCTATAGATAATTAAGTTATGGCTATTGTGTTATTTGCCATTTTAAAAACTGAGATGAAAGAAAAAGACTCAGTAATGTTGCACTTACAATAAAAATATCTTTGCTCGATATAAAGTACTACTGATACCATTGAAATAATGACGTGGGATATGTACAAATTACAAATTTTACTACACTAGCCAACACCTTTCTCAGGCTAACCCTAGAGCCCTAAAAATGAAAAAATAAAGGGTAAAAAAAAATGAATGGTTCATTTTAGACAAATGATCAATTAAATTCATTTGTGACCAATGAGATTCTAAGATCTATTTCTTAGTGTTAAATTTATCCAGGAATAAAGTTGTAATTGAGCAGTTTGTTATATTGCGGTATATTACCCTCTTTGTAAAGTACTAGTAAAGCTGTAATCAGCATGACATGCTATCTACAGTGACAACTCTAGTGGCTTAAGAACCACCTGTGACATGACCAGGCTTAAAGTCCTATTGTGTAGAATTTCTTCACCATTTTAAATCACCTCTTTAACAC